AATCAATACTGTGCGAATGACCAATAGTTCAATAAGTCGTTTCAGCCCTAATTTGTTCCTCCAAATTTGGGCGTGATGTAGAGAAAATTCATAACATCTTGTCATTATCTATTTTTTTATTCTTTTATTTATTTATTATTATTTTTTTATACTTTCGTGAAACATGACTTTAAAATCAATTATTTTTTCTAGAAAATAATGACATTATTTTATATACATTTACTAAAAGGTGCCATATAAAAAGTTATGGCAATTAGTGTTGGAATTAGACTTATATTGGACAAAATTGAACCCATCGGTTTTTGCTAAGTGTACTACTAGTAAGTAATGTTATAATGAACTGTTAAAATTCCAAAGTCATTATAAATCTATATTCATTCTTTATACTTCTTGTATTATAGACAAGTATCTACGTCTTATGCGGAAATGTATGAAAATTTAATAATATTAAAAAAAAATACAAAAAAAAGTATATACAGAAAATATAACACAAAAATATTTATATTTTGCACAAATAATTAACACTACAAAATAAGTAAAAATCAGGTATTAATCTATGATATGATAAAGATACAACAAAAGTTTAGATCTAATAAATATCGTAAAACTCACTATATTAGTTGGCATTATTCGCATACATTGCCTCTCTAATTATTACTGTTTTTTATAATCATTACCGCTTTTTATCATTTGGTTGAGCAAGCACATACCAACAAATTTTGGAATCTTTATATAAACTTTAAATTATAGACGAAATAATTTAATAATGATAAATAATAAAATAATAAATTATATAAGTTGACAATCAATATCTTACCTTATTCCAGGATTATTTTGAATATGTGCTTTACACGTACTTTCATCAACGTAATCAAATCTAACTGTTACTTCTGGAATATTGTCCCAGCAATCTTCATTTTTCCTAACAACATTTCCAACAATATGATAATCGTTATCGACAAGTGGCTCAGGGAATTTAACAACTACTGTATCTTGACCTTGTAATAAATTTTCCCCCTTAAAAACAATATTAGGTATTGCCATCCAATTCTCTGAAGATATAACCTCCCAGTCATTAGGATTATTTGCAAGTGTTTGCCACCAATCGCCAATTTTATTACGACTAACGGCATCCCCTCT